GGGGTGCGCTCCTCTGAGGATTGACCATGTCACCCCCGAGGCTCCGCCTTGGCGAGTTGTTTGTTCGATATTGGCTCACACGACACGGCCGATACTTCCATGCATCGGGTATCTCCTAGCGCACCTAGTCAGTGCTGGTTCTTCTTTCGATCGACGGTCCGAGATGCGGCATTGATGTTTCGGAAGATTTGTGGAAGGTCGTTGCCAAGAACTGGGGAACTGGGAAAAGTTAATATGGGTGGTTGATTGGAAAAAGCTGGGGAAGTTTCATGGAGGCTCAAAGGCCGGCTAAACTTCCCAGGACGGCGTGACGACGTCGATCAACACTCCAGGGTTCGTGGTGTGTGAGTACAAGAACCTCTTCTCATCCTCTCCTCGACTTCTCTGAGACTCTTTTCTCTCCATCCTCTAACTCTTCTCTTCATCGGCCTCGACTAGACTCCCACCAACATGCTCGCCGAAACTTTCATCTCCGCGGCCCTCCTCGCCACTACGGCCTTCGCCGCCCCGGCGCCCAACCCCATCCAGCTCATGACCCGCGCTCCCAACCCTGGCGTCGTCATCACCAAGTGCGCTTCACCGGGCATGCTCGCTCTGGCCTACGACGACGGTCCGTACCAGTACACTTCCCAGCTGGTCGACATCCTCGGCAAGGCCGGCGCCAAAGCCACCTTCTTCTGGACGGGCACTCTGTACGGATGCATCTACAACCAGGCCGCGGCCGTGAAGAAGGCGTTTGCTAGTGGTCACCAGCTTGCTTCTCATACCTGGTATGTTGTTTCTGTCCATCTTCCCGGAGCACCCTGACGGCTCTGCTCGCCAACGAGCACGAGTATGAGCAAGCCCCTGACTGGACCCCTGCATGAAGTCTTTGTGACACACTACCATGCTCAACCCCAAACACCTCCCTCGTTACAACTTTCCCAAAAGCCATGACTCCAAAGAAGTCGCAAAGTACTAACAGAAATCCAGGACCCACCCCCACATGTCCTCCTACTCGGCCTCCCAAATCACCACCGAAATGACCAAAGTCGAAACCGCCTTTGCCAACCTCATCGGCAAGAAGCCGCTCTACATGCGCCCCCCTTACCTCGAGACGGGCGGCCAAGTTTTGCCCGTGCTCAAGTCCATGAACTACAAGGTCATCACCGACGACATCGACACGGGCGACTGGAACAACCAGTCTCCCGCTCAATCCCAACAAAAGTTCACGCAGGCTGGCGCTGGCGGGAACGGCCATATCCCTCTGATGCACGAGACGTATGCCAGCACGGTTAATACGTTGACCCCTTGGTTGATCAACTGGGCCAAGCAGAATAACCTGAAGCTGGTCACGGTGGCGGAGTGTCTTGGTGATAAGGATGGGGCGTATCAGGCTCAGAGTTTCCCAATTTCTTCGGGTCCTTTCTCTTGCTAAAGAAAGCGTTGGGAGACAGTCTGGCTGGGTTGAACGAAACTGGTTGGCGGCGGCAGTGGCGGCGGCAGTGGGTTCGGATCGGTCTAATGGCACTATCTGCGACTAGGTAGACGGGATATCGTACATGAGAGATCGATCTCGATTGTTGAAGTGAATATCGCGGTGCCATTTTCGGCGATTGATCCCGTGTCATCATGCGGACCGTACCCGATGTGTGGTAACACTGCTTCCGACGTTCAGTGATGATGGTTGTTCCCCGCTCTCAGCTCGAGCAAAAGATAGCGTAGACGGCACTTATAAGAACAGACCCAGCTTGCATCGAATTCCTCGTCCTCTTCACGAACCAACTCCTTCTTCATCTTGATCTCCTCGTTATCAAGTCTGTCTTGAACCACGCACCATGTCTTCCCATGAGAAACAACCGCAACTCTCAGCTCCACCAACCTCCGACCCATACCCCCGTTCCACCCTCAACCCTCTCCCCAACGACACCCTCTTCACAACCCTCTGCCCCTCCTACGAAACCGCCTTCGCCAACAACCCCGCCCAAGACAACTCCATCGTCTGGCTCCTCTCCCAACTTTCCTCCGCCGACACTTTCCCACCCCCCGGCCGCCCCTGGATCCACGACTCCCTCCCTCCCCACCTCCAACGGAAACGCATCCTCGACATCGGCAGCGGCACCGGCCGGCCCGTTTGCTCCTCCCTCGCCGAAGCGGGCCACTCCGTGTTGGGAATTGATAACTGTCCCGCCATGGTCGACTTCGCCAGACAAAACGTCGCTTCTCTCTACCCCGACGGACGCGCCGAGTTTTTGGAGGCAGATCTTCGCACGTTTAACCCGGAGGAGGATGACCCCTTCTTTCAAGCCCGGGCCGAGGCGCTGAAAGCCAAAGGCGAAGTATGGGGAGAAGAAGATCCACAGGGGTGGTATCACGCCGTAACGGCGCACTTCTCATTAATCGCTGGTATGAACTCGCAAAAGGAGATTAAAGAGGTGTTTCGCAGTGTATATGGCTGGTTGAGAGAAGGAGGGCTGTTTGTGTTTGGGACGGCGCCGATGGATGTTGATGGGGAGGTTATCGAGTGGATGGGAAAGCCAGTTTTGTGCTCGAGTTTGACGAGGAGCCAAGTGTTGGAGGCGATGAGGGGGGTTGGGTTTGAGGTGGAGTGGGAGGTGACGACGAGGTTTAAGCCCAAGGCGGTGGAGGCGGGGATCGTGAAGAAGAAGGAGGAAGCCGAGAAGGTGGCTGAGGAGGAGCACTTGTTTGTGTATGCGGTTAAGATGTGGTATCCGGAGGAGTAAGTAAGGTGGATGGGGGTTTGCTGTTTGGTTCTCGGTTGGGCAGCTCGGGTAGTAGTAGGTATGCAGGGGCAGCTGTTTCCTTCGGTGGTGTGAGTGTCCATTGTCGTACAATACTCGTTTATTTCGTCAAGTGTCCTCAGTTCCTATCCTCCATCTCTTCGTCCTCGTCCTCGTCCTCGAGTGCTGAAGACTTTATCTCAGCGAGCTCGTCGTCGGTGTACTCGAACTCCTTAAGCACGTTGGCCAACACCTTCTCAATGCCATCTCTGTATCTTTTGACCAGCTCCTGCCGCTCGGTTTTCGGCTGCCATTCCCTTCCTCCATTTGGAGTTCCATAACAGAACTCAACAAAGTCCCGTTCAATCTTCTGCGCCAAAGTGGCCTTTAGCATGTCCACTAACGGGTCCAGCTCCTCTCCCAGAGATTCGTTGCCGACGCGTTGTGGCGGCAATGCATTGAACAACTCCAGCTGTCTCGGGCTGGCCATCATGGCAACCATATCGTTGATGAGCCTGGGATCCCAGTGGTTGAACTGGGGTTGGAGATGTAGCGAATTGGGCGTGGGGTTTCCGATCCGATTCAGGAACGATTGGGATTCGGGGTTCCAGAAGGACTCGCGAGAGATCAAAAAGTCCTGCGGCTCGGCGCCATGGTCCTGTGTCTCGGCCTGTTGTTGTCTCTTGCGCACGTGGACATAGTCGTTGTGCTTCCCTTGGCCTGAGCTGTCAATGATGAAGCCGTACCCTAACAGCAACTCGCTGTTCGTCTTGTTTCCGTAGTTGTTGAAAACCTGATCACCGGGTCCGTAGCTATCCTGACAGATAAGTTCGCATGCGCTCGGCTCCGACGTAAGGTTCCATGTATACTTGGCAGTGGGTGAGTGATTCCCAATGTCGTACACAGGCTGCAAGATTGAAAAATCGTCAATCTTTACTCCCTCTGGCAGCAACTGTCCGACGTGCTCCTTAGCCGAATCTGAGAGGATCAACGAAGGCCTAAAGCTGCGACTGGTGAACATGCAGTACGCCCAGTTGTACAGCACCTGGGTATAGGCGCGGTATTCGGGGAAGCCTGCCTTCTTGAGGATCTTGCGAGCTTGTGTGTACTCGGTCTTGACGTTGTGTAGGATCTCGTGGAGGGCGATGTAAGCATTGGTTCCTTGGAGAAGCTCATACTCTTCCTCGGGCCAGAAAGGAGGCAGTGCCCACTTGTTGATCTGGCTCGGATCTGTCAAGGTGGAGATGTAGGGCGCCCAGAAGGATGATTCGCCCTTGAGATACTGCTGGATCAAGTAGAAACGGCCGATAACATGTGGTGGAAGGGAGGTCATGAAAGCTTCTGGAAACGCGGGATTTTGAGTGCTGGAAGCCGGTACTTCTGGGGATAGCGTAATAGGACCGTCAACAAGGGCATTGAGGTAAGAGAGTGTGATCGAGGTTGGGCATGTGACGGCCTTAAAGGGTGCCTCTAGTCGTCCAGATGCTGATGGTTTGACGCGTAGTGAGAAGCCCGTGTTCTCGTCCTGGTAGACCTCCAGCGAAGGGTGCAGATTTGCACCATTACTTTGTGCCCAGTCCAAGAGCCTCCCGAAGCGTTCTTTATGTGGTGATTCCATCTTTGCCCGTCTTCGATATCGACGTTGTTATAATGTTTGATGGTGTTGAACAGACGATTGGATGTTGAACTCAATGAGGGAAGTTTAAAGTTTTACAGCATGTCGTCAGTTCTGTCACTTGGTGGCTTCAGGCCTGCAGTCGCTACAGCTGACAGCACTGTCTGGCTTAGTCAGCGTCAACAGGTACAAGTCAAAAGACGCGGGTATCACCAAGTGGAAAGAAACGACCGGTTGCGATTCAGCACGAACGGGGAGCGAGATCATGTAACTAACTACCTATCGTCGCTCCCTTCCTGGAACAATTTGTGGTTTTGTGTAGAATAGCAGCAATATAGGGGTATTGAGAATGAGGGTGCAGAGTGTATATTGTGTCGAATCTGTTCTATAATTAGGAAATCCCGCACATAAAAATTAGGGTTTTACCCAATAATTTAAATTATATAAAAAAGGCGGTAATAGGAAACCTACCCCTATATTTAATATACCCCCCCAATTGCACTAACGTATGCTAAAAAGTTAGTTAAAAGGCGCTTAAATAAAGCCATTCCTAGATTCTATACCCTTAAAATTAATAAATCCCTAAATAGTCGCTTTTAAAAATATCGCTTATTAATCGTATTATATTTAAAAGGTTTATAGTATTAATTTTTAATAATTAGCCGGGCGTTATAGTTTAATAGTTAAAGCGTTGGGGTCTTATATTAGATTATTATATAGTATTTTTAAATTATATTTAATAGTATATTCTTCGGATTATTTTTAATAGCTATCCTTAAAAATTGCGGGTTCGAATCCTATTGGCGCTAAACTTTTTGCTTTTTTTCCTTCTTATAAATATTATACAAGATCTTTTCATTTTATAAAAATTATTTTAATAGAATAATATAAATCGATAATTATTTATAATAATACTATTTTTCCTTTTTACTTCTTTAAAGTACTCTATCCCCGCCGGAATTAAATTATTAATATATTCGTATTAATTAATTTTAATACCCTCTCCTTCTCCTTCTTTAAATTCGAAATATTTATAAAACCTATTTAGCGAATAAATTCCTTATATTTCTTTACGGTTAATACCTTTATTAGCCCGTCGGCGACTATTTCAGTTATAAGTATATAATATATATTAAATATATTGCGCTATTATCCTTTTCGGAATTAATAATTATAAATATTAATATACTTAAATTTAATTTGAAATTTAGCGTTTTCTTTAATAATTAAGCGGATCGTTTAAGCGTTATTATATTTTAATAGGATATTCTTATTATTAATTCCCAAATTGAGAATTAGCGAATCGAATAAACATTTTACCTATAAATTTTTATAAACCTTTTATAATAGGGATAATAATTTAATTTCGGTAATAAAAATAATAACGGTATCTTATTTATTAATTTACTAATTAACGGTTCTATTTAATAGCTATATAACGAATTTTTATAAATTTCGTCGGTTTAGAATATTATTAATATAGGAGGCGTCGATTAAAATTAAAAATAAATTACTATTCCCTAATTAGAATATATAATTTTTAATACCTTTAAAGTAAACGAATAATCGGTTAGCGGTAATATAATAAATACTATTAAAATTAATAAGGAAATAGGATAATTTAAAGCCGGTAAAGGCACTATCGGGTTTAATAATAATTAGCGTATATATAATTTCGCCGATTACTTTTTAATATATTTTAATAGATTTGAGGTTAATAGTACCTTTAGAAGGGAGGAGCTCTTTAATATTTATAGGAATTTAGGGAAACGATCGGGATTATTAAAGCTTTTTTATAATCTTTTTAATATATTCGCGTTAAAATAATTAAATTAACCGCTTTATTCGGTCTCGAATAACTTTAATATTTAAAAACTATTAAATATTATTACTACTTATTAATTAATAATAACCTTTTAGAACGTTAATAATTTTAATAGTATTATATTTATCTTTATTTCGGTAGGTAAAAATAATATTATCGACGTAAAAAAAGATTATTATATTTCGGTAAATAAATATATAGGGTTCTATAGGGATAGGGATTAAATTAATAGTAATAAGAATTTTAATAAATTTACATTATTATAATAAAGGGGATTACCGAAAATTATAAAAGGCGTATAATAATTTAATAATTTTATTTTATTGGGTATATCCTAGTAATATTCGTATATAAATAAATTTATTAAAAAGGGCGTTAATAAAAGCGTTAATAATATTATATTATTTAAATTCGAAATTAAAGTAATTTATAATAGCTATTATAATATAGAAAGTACAAATCGCTAAAATAGCTACGTAAATATCTTATAAATTTTAAAATTATTAATCTCCTTTTATAATAAAGTGTACTTTATTTTTAAAATAATAATCTATTATATTAAATTTGTAAATATATACTTATATAAAATTAAGGGGGATAATTTTTTAATACTCTTTTTAATTTATTTACTTTTATAATCCTTTTATATTATAATTTTAAAAATATTCCCTTTTAATTTAATAAAATATCTTTTAAAAAGGATAAAAGTAAAGGTTTTAATAATTTTTAAATAGAGGGGGGAATTTTCAATAATATAAAGTATTTAATATATTTAATATATTATATTTTTTAATATTATCGACAATAAATTTCGAATCCGTATAAAAATCGTTATTATTAATTTTTAACTCGAATTTCCTTAATTAATTTAAATTAGTACGATCGATAACGCGACCGTTATATATATTAATTTAATAAAGATTAAACGTATTTAAAAAGGATATTACCTAATATAAATACTAATCCGCTCGGGGGAAGTAAATAGGAGGTTATATTAAAGGGATACAATTTAAATTCCTAATAAAAAACGAAATTAGATTATTAAAGGGAGTCGGTAAATTGTAATTAATTAATTTATTCGTTTTATTTATTACCGTATTTTATTAATTATTTAATCGCTTTAATATTTAAAAACGTAATATTTCCTCCTTTTATTTATATATATACCCGGCAAATTTAGTAGGGATCGTAGGGGTTTTTAATTCCGTAAGTATAAATTCGATAATTAGACCGAGATTATTTAATTCGTTATCGGTATAGCTTTTTAAAATTAAGAAAAGTATAATAAAATTATTTTCTAATTAATAAAAATTATTTAATTATACGGCCAATTCTTTTAAGGAGATTTTAAACGAATTTTAAAATTTTTCGATATTATTTATAAAAACCTTATTTTCGTTAAAAATTACGTTTTTAATTATTATAATCGAATTAATATAAGGATTTTAAATTCGGTAAATATTTAACAATTAATAACCGACTAAATAATTAATTTAAATACGTTTCTTAAACTTCCTAATTTTATTATAACCGTATAGGATTTCTATTATAAGTATAAAAACTTTATAACTATAAATTTTTAAATATATTAAAATAGGGACTACTTTTTATTAGCCGCCGTTATAGTCTATTATATAGGTTTTGAAATATTCTTTTAGGGTTTTCTAATTAAAATTATACTTAGGAATTTTATTAAGAAAGTAAATTATAACCGCTATAATTTCTCTTTAAAACTCTTTTAAAAAGTTTATAAATTCTCTTATAATTTTAACTTTTTCGTTAAATATACCCCCCGAGCGTTTAACGCCACCGTTTTATACTTAAATATACGGCGTAGAAGGCTCGACCTTAATACCCTATTATAATAAAAAAATAGTAATTTTAAGTTTAATTATCGTAATTTCGTTATTATATTCGACTACTTATATTTAAATTTAGTATTAAGTCTTTAAATTAATAATAAAAGAAGATAGGGCTATAATAATAAAATCGGTAATCTTTTTAATAAAATAATATACCTAAAAGTAATTAAATTAACGGTTAATTATTATTATTAATATAGAAATTTAATTAAATCCTACCTTTATTAAAATATATTCGAAAAAGTCGGTAACTACCCTTTATCCTAATCCTTTAAATATAATACGGATAACCCTCCCAATTTAACGTTTTAATTTAATTACCGTATATATATCGTAGTATATTAAATTTAAACCCTTAAAACGTACGCTATATTCCTTATTAATTCATTAAATAAGGGTTTCGGGTCTAAAGTAGCTAAATTTAAAGTATTAATATAAAATATCTCCTTTTTAGGGTTTTTTAACGGTTTTACTCTAGGGAATTCGAACGTTAAAAGAAAATTAATTAACGTTATCTTTATAAGAATTAAAAGGGATATATTTAAAAATAAATTATTAAAAATAATTAAAAATAGAATAATAATAGGAAAGATCGGGGGCGTAAATATAAGAATTAATAATATCCTAAGAGTAATCGAATTCTATAAATTTTCGAAGAAATACGAAATTATAAACTATATTTAAAATTAACGTTATATTATTTAAACAAAATTTAAAAAAATTACTCTTATTATCGTTAATTAAAATATAAACGGTCCTATATCCCTTAATTATTAATAAATTATTATTAGCCTAAATATAATTTCCTTTATTTATAGGGGTAAAATCTTTAAAACGGTTAATTTCGTTAAAAATATAAATTATTATACTTAAATTAAAAATAATTAAATCTCTTAGTAGGTATATTAAAACTTCTTATCGAAATTTTAATATTAAGAAATTAAATTAATAACTAATTTTATTAATCCTCCGACTTTTAAATTAGAATCTACTATTAAGGGTATTAATCGTAAATTTTATTAACTTTTTAATAGGAGTTTATTATATTAGTACAATTTTAGTATTTAATTTATAGAATTTTTACGTAAATTAGGTACTTTTTTAATAATTTTCGTTAATTATACCCTAAATACGTTAATTAAGAATTTAATTAAAATTAAACGCTAAAAAGGGGATTATATATTAATATTTATTATAAAAATAGCTAAATTTTTTATAAGTTTCGTAAATTCGCCTTTAGCGTTTATTATCCTAATTATTAATATTTTGGTTACGCTTCCTACCGGTATTATTAAAGGCGTCCCCTATAATTCGATTATTAAATATAAAAGTAAGAAACGTATTACTTTTTAAGATTTAATTATACGACTTTTTAGGGTAATAATTATAAACCCGTTCTTTAAAATTATAAACTAAATTAAAGTAAATAAAATTATTATTTAGGAGCCTTTTATCTATAATTTTAAAGGATATAGCCTAATTTTTAAAAGGGGAATTATTAAATCTATTTATTATATTAAGAAAATCGGTCTTCTATATTTTAGGGTTAATATATTCGTCGACTTTAAAATATTTATTAATAATTATAATATATTCCTACTTTTATAACTAATTAATTTAATTATAGGGATAAATTATAATATTAATTTTATTGCGGTAATTAGTGCGGATATCGTCGTAGGCTTATTCCTCGTCGAATTGAACGTTGGATTTCATTATATTATACTAAGCGGATAAAGAAGTAATTCCTTTAAAATAAATTAATTATAAATATTAATTAATATTATTTTTTATTTAAATACGAAGGGTAATAATCTTTTCTTTATAAATTTCCTAAATTTTTATATTATAACGGTAATTGGCTATAGCTTCCTAATAATTATAATAATTGTACTCAATTAAAAAACTATAACGGCGCGCTACGTATAAAATTAGAATTAAAGCTAGGGTAATAGGAAAAATTAGGGCTTTAATAGCCGGTTAAATAGTAGTAGTATTAATAGGCGTAGGCGCAGTCGCCTTCTATTAGGAAAGAAGTAGTATCGAAGTACGGTTACGCATTTTCGAAACGGGTCCGCTAATTATATAATTTTCCTTAATAAATTGAAAAATCTCTTATTAA